ATGGCTTTGAGCTTGCCATCCTCCTGCCGCCACCTCTTGAGCCATGGGATCTCGGGCATGTGCCACTGTGCCCAGCTCTCTGCTTACTTTCGTACGTCCCTGACGTCCTCCTGGCTAGCTGCATGCAAGGCCCCTCGGTGCAGCCTGTCCAGCCGCAGTGATCGCGGGGAAGAGGGCGGGGAGGTTTCACATTTGATAGTGGCCTTGTCATCTCGTACCTCTTCCCTGGAAGCCGGTAACTAAGGGGGTAAAATAAGAGCAAGGTTAGTAAACAGTAGTTTGTTTAAAAGAAAAAAATCAAAGAGCCCTTAGCCTTAAATTATAACCCTAAACCTACTTGAAAACCCATCAGCTATACTTCCTACCCAGCAGAGAAGGCTTTGTTCAGTCCAGGAGAAGCGGGACCACGGAGCACCCACAGCACAGAGCCACTGACTCAGAGCCTGCCTCCAGGACAGTGAGCCTGGGGACCCAGGCAGACACAGGGCTGCACGACCTCCTCCCTCAGCCCCAGGCTCTGCCCTCCCCAAAGCCCGAGGCACATCCAGGACAATCACCTGGTCCCTGTCTGCAAACCACACCCTCATCCACTGAAGAGGATAACATCACCCTCAGTGAGGAAGAGCATCTCCCTGTGCCGTCCAAGGGAACTCGAGGGAGGGGAAAGACGTTTGTGTCGAGTGTCAGTACCTTTTTGTTTATGAGGGGAAAAAAGGCAACGAACAGCCTGGAACACGACCCAGGCAATGTGTGGCTTGGGTTTCTCAGGGTCTAGACTGGACACTGGAACCAGAAGCACCGAAAAGCAATTTAAACCGCTGGCTCCTTGTGGCTTAGGTAAACTAATCCTGGGTACGTCATGAGAGAGGGTCTCTCTAACAACAGGGTTCCCTGCCGTGGACCACTGCGTGTGCATACGCACCAAAAGAGACCAGAGAGCGGTGACCATAGCGACAGGTGAAGCCCTTTGAGGTCCAGGCAGTCCTGCTTTGCGGTTTGTACTTTCTGGGCCTGAAGTAGGACTAGAGTCCGTGGAACATATAAGGCAAGGTCTGTTCACACAACAGGACTTGAACAGCGAGCTTCTTTCATAATGGGACTGGGTAAAGTGCACCGATTCCAGTACAGCTCCAGAGTGGCTCCAATAAACCAAGTGGATCAGGGCAACATGGAGCTGAGTTCATGTAAGACATGATCTTTACCAGAAACCTGGTAAACTCTGCATCTTTTCCTAATTTCCAATTGTAATCAAAAGACAGAAAAAGCCAGAATGGGCTCAGGTGTAGCTCAGTGGCAGAGCATAGGCTAAGCACAGCCTTCCCAAGGCTCTGGGTTCAATTTCTAGCACCCTTTCCCTGCTGCCAAGAAAGGACATGATGGCCTCTCAAGGTCCCTCAGCAAGGCCTGCCCCACTGCAGAGCTGCTAACAGTAGCACCCTATGGAACACTGTGGCTCACAACCAGGCTGCACTCTGCCCTCTGCACTCCTCAGCAGGGCACGGTGCCAGCACCCACCAGTTCACCTCAGCCTCTTCTACAAGCGCCAGGAAAGTGGGAATCACCTCAGTCTGACTAGTGACACTGCAGCAGAGCAGGAAGCAATCCCATGTGAGCAGTGCCTGGCCTTTCCCAGCTCTCTGTACACACACCTGGGCTGAGCTGACAGCCACCCACTCAGAACCCCTCCGAGCTCCAGGTTGCACACTAAAGTGCCCTGGGTGCTGCTTCCTCACTAAGTAGGTCCTGCTGCCAAAACYCAAACCCAAGTGCAAATCAGCTGAATTGGGGGTGTGCTCCAGTGTGGTGGCTAGTAGAAGTGACTCCTCTCACCATGGGCTGCAGTCACCCTCTGGAACTACTCTGTCACCTTCCCACAGTTTTCACAGCTGGACCTGGGGACCAACAGGGTCCCTGCCTCTCAGGGATGTTCATGAGGGTTAGTACGACAGTGTGGAGGCCAATTTGACTGCTGCCTCGCAACGTTGTCGGTGAACCAGTCTCCCCAAATCTATGAGCTACGGCTYTGCTCCCATCAGGCCGTGTATTTAAATCTCAACTGCTATGTCTATTAGAGCAAAGCATGCAACAATTAGACCCAAAACACTAGGAAAACAGCAAACCCTTCTACTTTCCCAGGGTCCCACAGACTATGTCAAATAGAACAGTCCCATGTGAAGTGCTGGGTTGGCTTAAACATGTCTATTAAAACATAAATTATTCGGGGGGGGGGGGCTGGGATTGTGGCTCAGTAGTAGAGCACTYGTCTAGCATGTGTGAGGCACTGGGTTCAATTCTCAGCACCACATATAAATATATTAATAAACAAAAGTCCATTGACAATTTAAAAAATATTTTAAAAATTATTCATTATCACACAATAGCAGAGTGTCACACTCAAGTAAAATGTGATATTCTTCATGGCACCTTAGGTTACAAGTGATTTACCTTTCTACGGTGCTTCCGTAAGTCACTAGGCTGACGGATGCGTGCAAAGAAATGGAGAGAAGCCAGATTTACTGCACAGTCCAAAGACTCCAGGTTTAGCACAGAGTAAGACAGAATAATAGCAAAGGCATCCATGAGAGAATTCAGAGAAAAACAGCTGAGATAGAACATTTTCCACCATGAATTCAAACATAAACCAGTTGAGAGTCATCAGAGAAACATTATAAATTACTATCCCAGGTAAAATTCTATTTGAACATATGCAATTTATTAAAACCTGGCATTCTGTATATTGAGGGCCCTGATAATCACYTATTCTAAGCCAAATCTCCCCACCACTTAGTTTTCTTTAGTAAGAAACATCGTAATTAAAAGTGTTATTCTAATTGACAAGAAGTGACTGCAAGACCTATTATAAAATCAAACAAACCTAATCATCTACTGGACATTAATGTAAAATCCTTACCTAGAATTTGATTTACAACTTCTCAGAAATAAATCTACCCTGGGGGGCTGGGGCTGTGGCTCAGTGGTAAAGCACCTGCCTCACACGTGTGAGGTCCTGGGTACAATCCTTAGCACCACATAAAAATAAATAAATAAAATAAAGGTATTGTATCCATCTACAACTAAAAAGATATTTAAAATATAAATAAATCTGTTATTTAAAGCAAGGTATTCTCTGAAAATATATAAGAGCCAAAGTTAGCATGGTATTGTGTAGAATCTTCATATCTGATGACTCATGGAAGATATTTTAATTTTAAAACATCTAATACAGGCAGTGGGATGCGTTCAGTGAGTTGATGAGATTTCCTATCTTGAACACAACCACCACAGCCATAAAGTGTACCTGTAAAATTTCTACTCACTCTACACTTAGATTGCTTCTTAATACAGGAGACACTTCACTGATGAATCATGCAGCTCCTAAGCAGTTTGAGTAAAAATCACGTGCACTATGCCTGCATCTACTTAAAAATACCCATTTTTTAAAAAACAAGAGAAAGCCCAACCATGCACTAGCCACCCTCGTCCAGCACAGATGCACTTGCGAGGGCATAGGGATGGGCCAGCAGGAGAGCTGCATGGACCCACCCACTACAGACTGACAGATGTGACAGCGCAAGATGACGCAGGAAATCAAAACCAACAGGGAGGCAGAGAGACTGCCAGCCAGCACTCTGGATTACAGAACTAGGAGGCAGGCCACAAGCCGCCTGGGAAAGCTGAGAAGAACCACGGATGAGGCTGTCAGGAGTTTAAAATGTCCCTAACTAGTCAGGGCTGCAGAGTGTGCAAGCTGTGTCAAACACCACCAGTCAGGCTGCCCTTAGCCCACCACTGGCTAACCACTTGCTGGCTCCCGGGCAACTGAAATGGAAAGGCCGACAACAGGAAAACTGTGCAAGTGCCACAAAGGAGCAAGGCCTCAGGCAACCCAGGTGACAGGAGAGCCACTAACACTCTTCAGGTCTATGAGTGTTGCCAACAGCACAAGGTCCCTGCACCTCCAGGACACAAGGGAGCCAGCTGTTGACAGAAGGTGCCCACCTGCATCTTGGAAAGCAGAAGGCAGTCCACCGTGAGGGCCACACCTCGTGCTAACATGGTGGTTCCATGCTGGGCTCTTGCGCTCCTCTTTCTTGTTAACTGTCTGACCTCCAGAGCTGGACAAGTGCCTTTTTGTCYGCCTTGTACAAAGCCCATGCCCAGTGCCACACCAACACACGACGGCTGGCTAACTGGCCACCCAATATTAAAGTCACTCGATGAAGCTCAATGACTGAGTACTAGTTAGTTTGAAAAGTCCTGAACCACTTAGGGTGACAATCATACCCGACCTCCTTTGACGTACAAGAGGCAAATGCACAGCCAGCAATAGCCACACAGGTGCGCAAGGGCGGGCAGCCCGGAAGGCCCCACTCACCAGTGTCATGACGCCCAGCCTGTCCACCTCCCGAGCGGGGCTGTGAGGGACCCTTCTTGGGGTGGAGCGCCCACTGCCTGGGGGGGAGGAGCCAGCGAGGGAGGAAGCAGGGTAGGGGGGAAGGGAGCTCATTGATCTAAAACGACCAAGGTTGTCCAAGCTTCCACTGCCGACTCGACTCTCGATCTCCTCTGCCCGCTGCTCTGTGTTTTCCTTTTCTTCCTGTATCAACCTAAAACAAAAACAAAAGTGGTCACCTCCCTCTATTAGCAAACAGTCAGATGAAAACTGCTCATACACTGATGACTGCGAGCCACCGCCAGTCGGAAGGGGCTCCGGCAGAATCCTCTACTTCTTATCTCTTTTAACATACTGGACTTAGAGCAAGGAAAGGTAGATCTTCCACTGAGTCTTGTTAGATTGATTCTAGTGGCACCACGGGTCATTTGACTTATCCACTCCACAATTCTGGAGGAGGCTGGCTGGTGACGTTTTCTGTGGCGGTCCCTAATAGAGACAGTTGGACACAGCTCTTACCTCCCTGTCCCCAGAGGGAAGCTGTCCATTTATCCACACGCACCCTCACTGAAGTCAGGAAGTCTGATCAAAAGAACTGGTGCCCAAGGCAATGAGTCTCCAACATTTAACCCACCAGACTAAACAAGAACAGGCTGGGCTTTTCAAGTCTGAATTTGAACATGACCACTGCCTGATGGACCTCTCTATCAGCCTTGTGTGGGTTCCTGGATCTGTGTCATTGTCTCAGGCTACACTAATGTGGAAGTGAAGATTAACGTTCTTCTCCTCTACAGCACTGTGCATGAGGGAGTAGCAATTTTAGTACCAGACTATGCTAACACAGAAACCTTGCAGTAACCCTTCCAGAGTCAAGTTCTCTTAGGTATTCTAAGAAAAGTCACTGTCAACAGAAGGAAATCTACAAGTCAGTGGAGAGACCTTAGCATTTACACCAGACCGACCTGTAGTGAGAGAACAGTCACTCTCACCCAGCAGCACGCTGTGAAGAATTAAAGGTAAGGGCCACCCTCCTTTCACAATTCCTGCCAGGTCAAGGCCACTCTCCTTTCTCGCTTCCTGCCAGGGTGGCGCTCCTCCTTCTGAGCCCTCTGGTCTTGAACACGACACCTGCAGGCTGGTCTGTGTCCAGACCACAGGCAGCCCAGTGTCCAGGCAGCAGGACAGCCACCACCCAAGAGGACACCATCCCTCCCCAACAGGGCCTCATGCTGCTCTCCATCTCAACCGTGGCCAGGCTGTGGGCCCTGACACTGCTGAGTCCCGGAGAGGGCCCTGGAGCTGCATCATCAGGGGCAGTTCCTGGACTCCACTCCAGCCGCTGGGTTGTAAACTTCCTGCTGCCACCACTAACTTGATGTGTGATGAGACACTAATGGTGTACCTCAGGGTGCCACTGAACCTCGTCCTCATGTGCTGTGCAACTCAACACAGGGAAAGGCAAGGAGTGGGAATGCACAACCTCAAGCCCTCCACTGCCTGCTAGCGACACGATGGGCACCCGCACCTGCTCAGCACTGAGGTATCCCGAGTTCAGGGACATGCAGGCTGGAGAGGCTTCTCACGACCAGCCTCACYCTCTGCCTTTGCTCCTGCCCAGTGCCCCTCTTGCCTGGCATGAGGCAACAGAAGGCTCCAGTTCCTCCCTCCCCGGGGCACACCCAGCCCCTGCACAACTKCAGATCTATCCGTCAGGCACACTCCTGCACAGCAGGGGAGCAGACCAGTTCAGGACCCCCACCAAGGGGCACTGAGTACCCTGCACCCCGGCTCTCTCCAGGTGCTTCATGGGTATCTGGGGAAGAGATTTAATACGTTCACCTCCCACAGCAAGCAAGCCAGGCTACAACTTAAATTCTTAAAGCGGAACACCTACAAGATGCCAGTCCCAACTTCCCTGGCTTTTCTGAGCTGACGAGCTCCCTCACATACCTGATCTCCTTGTTGATGGCATCCAGCTGCTCCTGAAGCATCATGGCCAGTGTCTGCGCATCAGCCTGCCCGCTGGGTGATAACAGGTCCACTGAGCTGAGCAGAGTGTCCCTGTCATCTTCCCCATCAGACACATCAAGGTCACTCTCAAATGCTTGTGCCACATTTGCCAAGACGCTGGCTTGCTGGGCACGCTCCCAATCCTGCTCATTGAGAGTCTGTACCTGTAAGCAAGAAAAGTGAAGCTCAGCAGACCGAGGGCAACCACACTCATCAAGGAACTTGAAAGACACTCAACAGAAACTTAAAAACCTATGGAGGACCCAAACTGTTTGGAACAATAGGTCATGCCCATGGTAGAGAAACGGGGAGCAGGAGGACACCCTGTTCCCTAGACTGCCTGGKGCTACTAAGGTCCAGGTGTGTGTGTGTGTGTGTGGTGGGGGGTGTTTCTATGACGACCCACAAGTGAGAGATGGCGGAGTCAGACAGACACTGAAAGTTAAGAGTACAGTGGTATCAATGCCCCAAACAGCTTATGGGAAGAAAATGATGTAAATGCTCAGCAGCTGGTATAGTCGGTAGCCTTCACACTTCACAAGTGGCATTAATGACAGAGTGGATCTGAGTTCCCAGGGAAAGCACAAGGAGGGAAGAACCCCAGGGGGAAAGTAGCAAGCCCTGCAGGTGCCATTTCCCAGCACCCAGGCTGTGGTGAGGCAGAGGGTGGGGTTTTCTCCGGAAAACCTAGAAAAGGCTCTTGCTGCCAGAACACAGGGTAAGCATGTGCACCGGGCATGTCATGCCCCTCTGTGTGATAACGTCATCCCCATACACACACTCCAGCCCCAGACACAAAGCCCAGATCCCTCCCTTGCCACCCTCCTCTGAAGTATTGTCCCCACCCAGACAGCACATCTGCCGTCACTGCGCCCTCGCTCTGGATCACCCCATCAGCATCAGGAAGTTCTCTCTCACTCCCATCTGAAAATGCCAAACAGAAGCCACGAGACCTTTATCCCCAAGTCCTGGTGGCCCCAGTCCACTGTGCCCCACTGAAGTGAAGCTTCCCCAGCTAGCCACTTCTACTGCCCCACCCCTCCCCTCTGGAGCCTGCAAGGTGGTAAGGGACACCCCCATCTGTTGAGCCACTCTGTCCCATGCAGCTCCTGCTCAACCTGTCATTCTGGAGCATGCCATGGTCCATCCCTGGATAGTGACGCGACCTGAGAGCTTCTGAGTATGACTTCAACTTGTCTCATGCCTTTTCTCTACCATCTGTTTGCTCACAACACCTAAGGTCTTTTTTTTTTTTTTTTTTTGCTAAATATTTTTAGTTGTAGGTGGACAAAATACCCTTTTTTCACATGTGGTGCTCAGGATACCCAGGGCCTCGTACATGCTAGGCAGGCGCTCTACCCCTGAGCCCCAGCCCGAGCCCCTAACTTTTTCTCTCTACTTCTAGACTGCTCTCTTGGGCTCCAGGCTGTCCACAATGGCCTGCCCCACACTTCCTCCTGGATGCAGGACAGGTCTGTCAACCTGAATTCCACAAGGCTCGACTTAGAGAGCCTCCCCAGAAACCTGCAGCTTTTCTCACCTGAGAAATAGATCCCGTCCTTCCCAGTGCTGYAGCCCAGACCTTGGGACACATGGCTCTCCTCATTCCCTCATTGTACCCCACCCTTCAGCAAACCTTGCTGGTGTTAATGACACATCAGGAGGGCCTCTCTCCTCCTTCCTCCTCCACAGCCCTGCTGACAGTGCCCTGGCTATGCTATTTAGAATTCCCTTTCTCACTCTACAACTCAGGAGAGCCTGGCTCCCCTCCCTGCTTCTGGCCCGTGCCACCAGCATGCTCACACAATTCAGGAACACGCCCACTCTCTCCACTGCTCCTCTCTGCAGGGGGTAGACAATGATTCCTACCACCCCCAAGTGAGGGCAGGACTCAGTAACTCACGGGAATGAGGAAAGCAAAGTGGGAAGCAATGATGTGAGACTCCCACAACATGAAAGAGCATGGGCTCTGAGGGGACCAGCAAGGTGCTCTGAGGACCCCAGGGTGCACACAGCAGGGGTCTGAGGCCTCTAYCCACTGCTGTGTGGGCACCTGGAAGCACAGGCTCCCCCCTGGAGCCTGTACAGACAGCAACCTGTGACCACACGTGCCCCCAAGCTRAGGCCATCCTGCCAGGCCGCGCCTGGCCCCACAACTGAGCAAGGAATGCTCACTGTCTAAGCCGCTGGGCTCTGCACTGACCCGCACACAGCACGGCAAGGCCAGCACCGCCACACCTCTCTTTATCCTGCATGTCCCCACTGGGCTATGCCCTGTCACGGACACTGTGCCTGTTTTGTGCACACAGCAGCCCTGTGTCRAGGGGTCCATGGAGTGGTGCTCAACTACCAGCAGTTCACAGAGGCAGGCTGTGCGACAGACCACAGAATGAAGGTGTGGGCCCCCCYAGCTTGGTGCACTGGACAGTGGAGGAGCCTCTGGGAGGTGGGCTGGGTGGGAGGAACTCAGGAACTGGGGGCTGCCYTCCAGGAGACTGAGGGAACCTGGCCCTTCCTTTTCAGTTCCTGAGGTGAGTGGCTTTGCTCCAACACGCTCCTGCTGTGATGTGCCCCTCACCCAAAGCCACAGGGCCAAGGACCAAGGACTAAAAGTCCCAAGACCATGAGCCAAGGTACCCCTTTTCTCTTGTGAGTCCATCACCCCAGGCAGCACACTACCAGAAACACAAGTGCACCCTTTAACTCTCAATCACCCTTCAACAGGCAAGCATCAGCACTGTGCTTGCGAGTAGACTGTTTTTTTCTTTAAAAAAAAAAGGGGGGGGTGAGGACTGGGGCTGGGGTTCAGTGGCAGAGCACTAGCTTAGCATGTGTGAGGCCCTGGGTTCAATCCTCAGCACCACATATAAATAAATAAAAAATAAAGATATACCAACAACTAAAAAATATTTAAAAAGAAAGAAAAAGGGCACAAGGGACTTAAAAGTAGACTCTTAGCCAGAAAGAGGAAAGTGGGGCAGGAAAAGGGAGGGAGAGAGAGACCTATGGAGAGCTCCGGTTCAGGACAAGCAGGCGCCCCTGTGAGCAGAGGCACGCCCACCAGGCCTTGCCTTGGAAGGTTCGTCCCGCAGCGCTGCCAGCCGGCCTTTCTGGGGGCGCCGTAACACTGCACTGGTGCTGTAGGCATCTGTGTGCCCATCTGCCACAGGGAACCTGAAGTCTGGGACACTGCCCAGGTGGGGGCGGCTGAAACAGGAAACAAAGGAGGGTGTTAGAGGAGGGACCTAGCAAGCGCCTCTCGACAAGCAGACCCACCCCCGTCAGAACRCAAGGCGTCAGCAGGCGGACTGAGGCAGGCACCTCCTTGGTGTGCCCTCAGAGCTGCATGCTGCCTGCTCCCAGCCAGCATTTCCACTCCAGTCTTTCAGGCCTTGTGTGAAAGACGTCAATCACCACAGGAAAACCCACACAGAGGCCACTGGCATGGAGGAAGACAGGCCTCCAGCCACTGTCTGCAGAGAGAACCCCTCTCCAGCACAAGGCCRCGGGGCTGCATTTCCACCGTACTTTCTCACTGCTGGCAAGAGGTGCACCTGGATACCACTCTGGCCTTGTAGTGCTCTGTGGCTTCCCCAATCGTGCCAAGATCCATGGTGTGACAGCTGTCAGACACAAGCGTTCCTTGGGAGGCCCTGGCTGCACATCTGTGTGGCCTAGCTTGCTGTGTGTCTGTTTCCAGACCTGTGACAGGTCTGGTGACAAAACCAACACTCTGGGCTGCAGAGTCCTCAGGAAGGAGCAGGCTGGGTGACTGGGTGAAGCAGCTAAGAGACTCGCTGTGCCCACTGGCCAAGGCCTGAAGAGGAGGAGGGAGCATCAGGGGTCAACCACACAGAGCCCACCACTGCCTTCACTGCAGCAGCCCAGAGGCTGCATCCTCGGAACCTCTGGATCCTTGTCAAACAAAGGCATTGTGCCATCATTGCAGAAATCCTTCAGAGGCAAAGATCTGCTCACAGGAAGTCATGCAGGCGAGCCTCAGGACCCTCTAGCAGCCTTGCAGACAGGGCCTGAAAGGCAGGCCAGCTCCTCTCAGGGCTCACAGCCTCTCCCTGCTTGACATCCTGGAAAGACGTCGAGCCCTGCAGCTGCTTCTCACCTGCTCCCTTGCTCCTGACCATCGGCCTGCTCCTTCTTCACAGGCCTTCTGCAGGCAATCTGCCGGCGGTTCTAGGGGGCACGCAGATCCTGGGGAGCCACCGTGCCTCCCAATCACGATGCCCTTCTCCTGGCTCACCTTCCCCTCCACACAGCCCACTGCAGGCACTTCCCAGGCCCCTGGGGAAGCCCTAGGGCCTGACACTCCCCGGGCAGGCACTCTCAGCTCACTCTCCCACCCCTCCTCCTGGCCCAACCATCACCACTGTGACCGCTCCTCTCTAAGCTGACAGGTGTGGACTCTGCAGGCCAGCCTCCGGGGACAGCGGGACCCTCTCTGCCTCGCCTCTTCAGTGTGAGGCGGTCTACCTTGCCTGTCCCCTTGGGCTCCCGAGCAAACATGTCCTCTCCCCATCTTCTTTCCCTTGTCAAACACAGGCACCTTCTCCACCTTGAAACACTGCCTGCTCTACTGCCTGTCTACCTCTTTGCTTCCCTCCATTGTTCCAGAAAGCGGCACACACACAGTGGCCTCCSGAGAGTCGTGCGGGCACCAGACACTGCTGACTGGCTCCAACCAGCAACAGCACCTCTCCGCAACTCCTGTCGTGACCACAACATGTCCCTCTGTGGGTAGGCGGCCCTCGTCCTGGACACCCAGCCCCTGGTTTCCACACAGCATGTTCTGGCTCTGTCTGATCGTGTCTTGTGGGCCAGGCCATGGTACACAATGGCTCCGCGCTCCCCCTACACCACCACTGTGCTGTCTCCTGCACCTGCCCGACACCAGTTGACCGCTTCAGAAACTTTAGCTGAGGTTTAACTTTCACTCAATGACCATTTTCCTCAAAGAAACAATGACCAAAAGAAGGTACTCTTAATCAGACTGCCTCTGAATGACGAGAAAGAAAAAGACAAGAAGCTCTGTGTGCCGAGCACTTTACTGGGGTCATTCCCAAGACAGGTGACCCAGTCCTCTACCGGCCAAAGCAAAGTCCTATCTCAAGTGCTTTTAAAATGACTGTATCTCACAACTTCAGTGCCTCAAAACAAGTAGAGCTCCAGCTGGCACAGTGGCACACATCTATAATCCCCGTGGCTCAGGAGGCTGAGGCAGGAGGATCACAAATTTGAAGCCAGCCTCAGCAACTTAGTGAGGCCCTARGCAACTTAGCAAGACCCTATCTCAAAAAATAAAAGTGGTTGGGGCTGGGGTTGTGGCTCGGTGGTAGAGCACTTGACTAGCATGTGTGAGGCACGTGGGCCCACCAACGTCTAAAAACATTTTTTTTTTACATAATAAATCAAATAAAAGTGGCTGGGGATGTAGTACAACGGTAGAGTGACACTGGGTTCAATTCCCAGTACCAAAATAAATAAATAAATAGAAATGCTCCACCAAACCCGCGAAGGTCAAAGAACCCAAGCTCTGGCTGGATCAGCTCCTCCCTCGGCTGCGTCTCCCTGTGTGAATGGCTTCTGCTCCAGGGAAAGCAGTGCTTCACCTCTTACCCTGGGCTCTGTCCTCCGGTCCCACACCATCAGTGCCGCCCTCCCTGAGGCACCTAAGTTAATATGCCCAAAGACGAACCAGGCATTCCCCACCTTCCAAACCGCCTCCTGTGTGTCCAGGTTTGCTAGGGCCCTGYCTCCTGGCTCAAGCCCCACCTCTGGAGACACAGTCCCTCTGCACTCTTGCTGCTACTAAGCCACCAATGTCCTGCAGTGAGGCTGGCGCTATACCCAGCTCGGCTACCCACAGGCCAGGACAGGCTAGAACACACTTGCAGGTCTGTCRATACCATACCCATGATGAAGTGAAGCACCTCTCAGTCTCATCTGGTCTAGTTCAGCCCTCAAGGCCTCGATGTTCAAGACGAGCTGGTCCTATAAAACAGTCAGGGACTCACATTGCAAGGATGTCTTTCAGGTTTTCAGACCACTTGTAACAAATGTGCTCAGATATCAAACACAACCCTAACGGGCTAAATTACTAGTTACAACTGCCTAACATTTTCCTTCGGGGAAAATTTTCTCCATGAGCTCCATAGTAAATGTGAATGCGGAGATGGTCTGTGAGGTAAACCCTAACGAATAGAAARTGACACTCAGTGACTACAAAGTCACACAGGGGATAAACAGCAGACCATCAGAGGAGGGTTGAGGAGAGAGAGCAGGACTCCCAGGAGGGAGCGGGGCATCCAGGACTCTGCCTGGCCACCCCTGCAGGCCTTCTCTCACTTCCAGTTCTGCACTGCCACACAGTGGCCACTGACTGCATGTGACCACGGAGCCCTCAAAACACAGCCCCAACTGACCTGCTGTGCCCGTGGGGTCCAGAATTCAAAGCGGAACATGAGACGAACCTAAGTAGCTCACTAATGTTTTCCATTAATAAACAAAATCGTGATATTCTCACACACTATTAAATAAATTACTCTTACATATTTATTTATACTTTCTCGAACGTGGATACTAAAAAGTTGAAAATCACATAAGTGGTTTACATTGTATTTCTGCTGGACAGCAGTGTGGTCGGCTGGTTTGTTTCAGTGCTGGGGATGGACCCAGGGCCTGGAGCACACTGGGCAATATGCTACCACTAAATTGGCCCCCCAGCCCTAACAGCACTTTTTATTTTTTAATTTTTTTAGTTGTAGACAGATACAATACCTTTATTTTCTTAATGTGGTGCTGATGATCGAACCTAGTGCTTCACAGGTGTAGGCAAGGGCTCTACCCTTAGCCACAACCCCAGCCCACACTGTATATTTTTATTTTCTTTTTGGTTCTAGAAGCTGAATTTACCCATAGGCACTAAACCACTGAGCTATGTTTCCAACTCATTTTATTTTATCTTTTCAGCCAGAGTCTCACTAAGTTGCAGAAGCTGGCCCCAAACTTACAACCCTCCTGCCTCAGCCTCCTGAGTTGCTGGGATTCTGGGCATGTGCTACCATACCCAGCAACAGYTCTGTTCCTGATGAAAGGTCTCTGCTATTAGCCTCATACACTTGTATCTCAAATTCAAAGGCACACATCTTGTGTTAGTAGCCTAGGAGAGCTGTAAGCTAAGCTTCTCTCAACTTGCACCACATATCTGTGATAACAGTAACTCAATTCAGCTCTTAACGGGTTTCTCAATGAATCAGAGCATTTAAGTACCTTATCATGTTGTGTTTCTTCTAATTGCTTTTTTGCATTTTCAACTTCTCGCAGTAGAGAATTCTGAAAGAGAGAGCATCCATCAGTTGAGACTTTAAAATGTCCCGGGTGACACACTACAGCTGCCTTTGTCTAAAAGACAAAGCAGCACTGGGAAGGAAGGAACTGCTGGGTGTGCCAGGGAGCAGTGCCCAGGCCCAGGGCTGGATGCTGACTCCAAGGTGACGGCACCTGATAATCCTTCTTGCCATGTAAATGCCCTCCTTTTCTGATCCAGCTGCTAAATGTAGGTAGGCTCCTAGCCAGGTTCATGGGCAAGTTCACTTTAATCAGATAAACTAGTTTACACTGACTACGAGGCTGTGCGATTTACTGATCAATTGAAACCTGAAGTTAAGTTTCAAATGTAAAATTAGAATCAAAGCTCTACCTTAAAGTGAGCCATTCTGTGCGGCATCTAATAATGCGTTTTGTAACTAGTTTTGTGTAAAATAAACGTGTCCCCTAATGAGGAGTAATTACCACTGATCTTTTCAAATTGCATGACCCAGCTGAGTGCCAGTCTAGGGACACTTCCCAGCTGCACTTCCAGGGACGTACATGTCCACTAGCACACCCAATCCCAGCTCAGCTGGAGACACAGGGAACAGCTCCTGGGAGATGTGAGCCCCAGAGGCAAGGCTGAAACCCCCTTCCAAGCAGGTGAGGAGACGGAAGGCGGGGCCTGGGACGGGAGTGTCTGGTTTTAGTTGATTCCATCTCTCCTACCACGCCATGCGTTGTGTGTATGAACAAGACCAGATCAACTTCCACAGAAGAGCAGAGGAGAGAGGTGGGGCTCAGTGAGATGGCAGYGCAGGCCTGTCGCCCAATACAAGCCAATCAGAAAAAAGCTGCACCGTTCACCTGTGAGCTGTCTGCGGCTGCTTCTGTGCTGATTACTAACTAGTGTGAAGTTATTTTACTAAATTATTCATGATTACTAAAATTAGCCTAAAATGCTCACCATCTGGCCCTTTATAGAAACTGCTCACCTACCCCTGTCCTGGAGCCAGAGTGATAGACAACTTGCCACTCATGCTTGAGTAAGGCTGTGTGCAGCCCGGAGACTGTCGTGCCCTCCCCCCACAGCAGAACCCCCAGCCCCACTGCCTTCTCCTGGAGAGGAGGGTAATGGCTGCTCTGGAAGGGAGGCCCTGCAGGGCCTGCCCAGCACCCACCTTGTCCTCCAGCGCAGCCATCCTCTCCTTCAGATGGAGCTGCAGCCTCTCGTTGGATTCTGAAAGGAGCTTGTCAACAGTGTCTGAGAGACGTTTGTTATGTTCTTCATTCATTTTTTCTCTCTGTCTCGCCTAAAATAGGACCAACAAAGACTTGAGACTTTGAGCAGACGTAGGAGCATTACTTTAAAAGTACCAAGGACCACAGTGAGCCATTCACTTGCTATCACGCTCCAGCTGCTCCTTCCAGCTGCCAATCCTGTGGACTTCCATGTGCCGATCAGAACAACTCATGGATATGGAAAACTCAGAGACAAATCTTAAATATACAGCCCTCACACTGTGCCTCACATAGAGCAACAGTCCTTATCTAAAGGAGGACACATCTCACAGGATACAGAATACCTGAGCTTCCTTGTTGGTAGATGCTTGTTTCCTGTCAGCATCTAACTTTTGGCGGGCGGGTGGGGTGGGTTGGATTAAACCCAGGGATGCTTTACCAATGAGATACCTCCTCAACCCTTTTTATCTTGAGACTGGGCCTCGAYAGATTGCTGATCTGGCCTTAAACCTGAAACCCTAAGCCCCCAAGTCATTGGGATCACAGGTGTCGACCACGGCATCTAACAACATCTGAGTATTTTTAAAGCAAAACAGCTTAATGTTTATTTTTAACTGGTAGAAATATTCCGATCCCAAGGTCTATCCTTCACAACTTCATGAACTGGTTTTGACAGTAATGATGTATGTCCTCTAATACATAATGTCACTCTGCCCATGGGATCACAGTGTGCACGTGAGTGGCAGGAGAAGGCTGCCTAGGATGCAATCTTTAGGCAGGCATCAAAACCATCTCCTGGAAGCTCTTCCAATGCTCTAAAGCGCACGGCCACGAACACAGAATTTTGGGAAAATAAAACCTAACTGCCTTAAATTAATGTCAGAAAGTTGGCTGAAGTGAGGTGCATCGGCTCAACACTCAGATGTCCGTGCCTCCTCCACTCATTTACACAGGTAGAATCCAGCCTGAACTCGGGCCTCCTGCGTCCTGACCTTGCCCTACATGCACTCCCTGCCACCCGCCCAGTTCCAGGAAAACTCAGGACTCAGAGATACACCTCTGCGGCACTGTGTCCTTACGCTCTCACCACAGGCCATCTYGGTGTTCCTCTTGCCCTGAAACGTCCACCCCGGCATCTACCATTGTGTGATAACCCGGGATTTGGGACRGAGGTCAGGCTTCTGACCTGAACTGGGGACTTCAGTGTCACACCCTGAGCAGGTGTGCCTCACCTTGGATGGGGACCTGGCTCTACACTTCAAGGCACCCCCAGCTAGCACACAGCTTTGAGGGACTCCCATGAAGCCCACATGTGCCTGGAGCAGCTCCCAGTGGGCGAGAGAAGCAGAGTCTGCCTCCGCAGACCTGCCTGTGGGCACAGGCTCCTGCTGCCAGCCAGGCTGCACACATCAGCAGGCAGCCTCTGCGCCCCTCGTGGCTCTAGCGTGTACGCACCCGCTGCAGCTCCTGATTCTTCTCCTCCAGCTGCGCCTCCATCTGCCGCAGCCTTTCTTCGATGTTACCGTGTCTCTCTTCAGCCTGTCAGAGACGCCGTGAGTGTCGCACACGCACCTCTGTGGGTGGCATGCTGTGTCCCACTGCAGCAACAGCAGCAAGCGTGGCATGCTCGGTGGGGCGGCCTCACGTGAGGCACACCCTGTGCACACTGTCCCCGCGGCTGCGAGGGCTAACCGTGAGACAACCGGCCCTGAGCGCTGTCTCTGAAGCCCGCGGTGCTGACGACGACTCAGTGCCCCCCACCACGTGCCTGACCTCAGCGACCCGTGACTTCCCCATCCTCAGACTGCTGGTCAGTCAGCATGTAAAGCAGAAAGCAGCAAGCACGGGAAGGAGCAAGGCACACGTCTACCTTCCTAAGCTTGGAAGTAAGTTCCAACACTTTAGCTTCCTTAGCAGCAGAGCTCCCAGAAGACAAAGGGTCAGACTACAAAGCCGACAAGGACAGGAAAGAAAGCAGGAAGAGAAGAAACCGAGAATTTAAAAGGGGATCACCAAGGGAGCAGGTGGTCACAGTGGCCCAACACTCTTGCTTCATGGGACAGGCAGGCAAGTCTGGCTGCCACCMGCCTGCCTCAAGATTGCCTCAGCCACAGGACACTGCACCTCTGTCCAAGGACCCCTCTCCCCACCTCTCCCCAGTAGGAGACTGCCTCCTAGCCAAGGCGAGCAGGATCCCTGCCAGGGGACAAGGCTGGCTGGTGCCTCCTGCCCTACGGCACTAAGTACTTCCTACCCCCAGGAAGGCCGGGGGTCTGGCAGGGAGGCCTCCCAGGGCCTGTGTAGATGCCTGAGTTGAGCACCTACTACATCACTCTGGAGCAGCCTCTTCACTGCCTGCTTCTCCCAGGGACCTGAGGACCAAGGGCAGGGAGTGTTCCTGCATGTGCCTCGCCAAGAGCTGGTCAACAGAGGAATGGCTGCTACTCAAAAATCTTTTTTTTTTTTTTTTTTTTGGTACTGGGGATTGAACCCAGGGGCATTTAACCACTAAGTATATTTAAAACCTTTTTATTTTTCCATTTGAGACAGGGTCTTGCTAAGTTGCTGAGGCTAGCTTCAATCTTGTGATCCTCCTGCCTCAGCTTCCTGAGTTGCTGGGATTACAGGCACCACATCCAGCAAAAAGTCATTTTTAAAGACAGGCATGGTAGCCCGTGGCTACAGCTCCAGGTACTGGGGAGGTCAAGGCACGAGGATCACTTGAGCTAGGAATTCAGGGCTAGCCTGCACAACACAATGAGACCCCACCTCAAAAACAAACAAAAAACTATACTTTTATTCCAAAAGAATAAAATTAAAAGTTTGACAAGTCTGTCTTTAAAGAGAATGGCATTTTTCTTTTTCTGAGAAAAAACTATCCTCTTTTATGAAAACCTCTAGCCTATGTGGTATGTACCTGAAGGAACTGGAGGGAGGTTCAGGAGATGACAAAGAAGGACAGGTTTGACATTTAAAAGGCATCCCGTCCAGGCAAGGCACTGAGAGCAAATCTGAGCTACACATGGGTCCAGTTGCACTGACTGACAGCTACAGTCCTGCCATGGGACCAGAGCCACCTGCACACCTTGGAGAGTGCCGCCACCCTCTGGGCCAGCTCCGCTTCCACCTCCGGAAGCGTCTCAGCCTTCCTGAGGGTCTGCTGCAGCTTCTGCTCCGCCAGCTCCAGGCGCTCCTGCAACTGCCGGTTTTTATCCTCTGTCTGTGGAAGAGAGTCCAGCGTCAGAACATGGGGATCGTCTAGTGCTTTCTGTCACCACTTGGCAGACTGGGCTATTGAGGGAACGCCGGCTGCTCAGGTGGCCCGCTCAGGCCAGGCTTCTCTGGCCCTGCTTATCAGGTTTGACCTCCAAGCCCCAAACTTCCCTTGACAACCTATTTGCTATTTTATTTTCTTTTCTTTAAGGAGAGAGAGAGAAAATTTTAATATTTATTTTTTAGTTCTCGGCGGACACAACATCTTTGTCTGTATGTGGTGCTGAGAATCGTACCTGGGCCGCACGCATGCCAGGCGAGTGAGCTACCGCTTGAGCCACATCCCCAGCCCCAYGCTATTTTCTTAAGAAAGTGATTTTTTAAGAACAAATGAAGGTCCCTGACCTTAAGGAAAACAAGTTTTCTCTAAAAGCCCCCTCATTCTCAGTGACAAATCAAGGTGGGAGGGGTTAGTACCAACCTCACCAAAAGCAACCAGCCCACACCTGGAGGCTGTGCCTCCTGCCACAAGCCGCCTGTGTGTGGCCGAGGGCTCTTGTGTGAGCCAGATGAGCTGCTCAGCAGAGTTTCTAAAGGCATATTTCTTCTTCTTTTTTAAAAACCTTCTTGGGGCTGGGGTTGTGGTTCAGCGGTAGAGCGCTCACCTAGCATGTGGGGGGCCCTGGGTTCGCTCCTCAGCACCACATAAAAAATAGAATAAATGGAACAAAGGTTAAAAAAAAAAAAAAAAAAAAAACTTCTTAACTCTAAAAACTTGAACATAGAAGAAACTTTTTAAAACACCTAAAAGTTTTTAGCTGCTAAGCAGCTAACATCTGTCCACATCTCCTTCGTATGGACATACATACATGCTCTAAACCCTCAAAATATATCACACTAGCATAGCCTGGTAAAAGTTATTCCTAATATCCCTTTTAATAACAGCCTGATATTTTATTTTTGGTTAAACAATGCTCCTTATTAAATACCGGATACTTTATTTTCAAGAAGACTGATGCAGGATTTTCTGGTTAGCTCTCAGTWCCCTGGGACTACAGAGAAACAGGAGTAAATAAGGTTTTCAAACTACAGGAGACACTGATTCTATGCACTTCACTTTTAAGTTTGCCAGCAACCCCTGTTATCAACTGGTAGCCAGAGCCTTGGAGTTGTCCAACACTCTGCTCTTTCCTATGAGATGAGCTCGCAAGCACCAGGTCAGCTTGTCATGGGAACAGCAGAATCAAGCGCTCCATGAAGTGGTRCAGCCTCAGTTCCTTGTAGGCTGCAATAACCTCCCTCTTGATCGCAATATTGTAAGATCATGAAAAGTGATATTTGGACTTTATATTTTCAACATGAAAATTAGGAAAAATATCTTTGTCTTCATTAATAATTAAAGCCAGACGAAGGCCTGTGAAACCCATTACCTGCCGATGCAGAGAGTCTTTGTTTGCGATTTCGTTTTCAAGCTTATCATTGAGGTCATGCACAGATGTGGCTTCACGCTGTGCAGCGAGGTAGCGTTTCTCGAGGGTCGTGATTCTCTCCTCCATGTCCTCCTTCTGGGCCATGGCCTACAGAGACATTTCAGAGGGAGGCAGGCAGATGAGGAMAGCGTCTGCGTCAAGCCACACACAGCCTTCCTTCTCCATCTTTTACTAGATGGATAAAACCTCAGGTAACTACAAAATCCAACTGTGTTGTCAAATGCAAACAGAGATCACAGGCTAATTTAACTGGATGCAACCACCCAGAGTGTGTAGCAAAATGAACCCTACACACTGCCCAACGCTGAGACCAGGACCACAATTTTATTCACACAATACTGCCAACAAACTCACCGTTTTTAGGTCCTTCCCTGTTTACTAAGACACTAATGATGACAAAGTCTTAATATTTAAAAGATAGGTCTTGCCAGACACAGTGGCACAAGCCTACAATCCCAGCAATTTGGGAGGCTGAAGTAGGAGTCAGTCTGGCACTTAGCGAGACCCTGTTTCAAAATAAAAATGAAAAGAACAGAGGACAGCAGTAGAGAGCACCTGGGTTCAACTCCCAATACCCAGGACTGACCAAAAATTAAGAAATAAAAAAAATCTAAAATGAATTTTACTCTTTCTGCCACATAATCTTCTACTGTAGCCAAAATATAGTAGGATCTAATACGAGCAAATATTTTCCTTTGTTCTCAACCCTTCCATGAAGTCGCTCACTGATCCCTGTTCTTACATCCACACTCAAGGGTCAAGATGGTCAGATGGTCGTGTGCAGGCACAAAGAGCATGTTAGGAAATGACAAAAGGTGGCACGGCAGAGTGTCCAGCCCTCATTTGATCTATAAGTGTCCCTGGTTTCTCACGGGTGCAYAGACACAGACGTTTGTCAGAAATTAGTGTAGCTGCATGAGCTTTCACACGATGATCCCAACGTGACCCAAGTGGGACCACTGTTTGGCCTCCGACCTCCTGAGACGGAGGGAAGGTGGGGAGAGGAGGGAGTGGTCGCAGCCCTCCCCGGCCAGTTGCAGACAACCAGCAGCGCCTGCGCACACCGGCTAAGCAGTGGCTAAAGGAAGTGGATCAGGAGAGGGACGCCAGGCACACAATGCTGTTTTCCATCCCTACTGCTCTACACCAGCCCCGAGGCTGGAAGGGACTGGGAGAAGCAGAGAGAAACCAAGTGTCCCACACGCCCCAAAGGTGCCGGCAGCACTGCCATTTCTAGCACCACTCACTTCACGGACATCTCGTTGYAGTTTCGTGTTCATCTCCTCAGACTTGATGAGATCTTTTCTAGCTGTGTCCAGATCCTCCTCCAGCTCCGCCACATGGCTGGAGAGGGTGGCCAGGCGCTCCTTCATCTGGCTCTGCTCCCGTGATTGCTTGTCTATGACTTCCTGGAGCTCGATGACTTTAGCCAGGTCTTCCTCGTGGCTGGAGGAGCCGTCAGAAGATCTCTACAGGAAGACCCACGCCCTTAAGTAGCCTTGCTTGGTGTGCTGTGAAATAAAATGCTTCCAGGAAACAGGGACCATCGAAACCGATTTACGAGCCAGGCGCAGGCCTGTAGCCCCAGCTACTCAGAAGGCCGAAGTGGGAGGGTCACAAGTGCAAGGCCAGTCTGGGCAACTCAGTGACACCCTGCCTCAAATAAAATGAAAACTAACAATGGCTAAGGGTGCAGCTCAGTGGAAGAGAAATCCCAGTTCAGTCCCAGGCATTGCTCAGCAAAAAAAAAAAAAAAGAGAGAGAGAGAGAGAGAGAGAGAGAGAGGGGCCGTGCACTCTGCTGGCAGCACAGCCTCCTGCTGCTCAAGCTGTGGTGGCACTTTGGCCACAGCCTCCCAGAAGCCCTGCGTGCGGTGGCCACAGCAGGGAACGCAGGACTTGCCTTTCCATTGGTGCTGGGCGTGCTCTCCTGCTCATGGCTTGCGTCAGGCACTCCCCCTGCCGCCACTTTCTTCTGATTATTCTGCTCCTTTAGAATCATCAGCTGAAGCCAAAAAGACACAAGAACATGATGACTCTAAGAAAAGTGACAGCAGCAAAAGGCCTTTTGGAAAAGCATGACCCTCAGCCGCTCCCCATGGCACCCAGGGCAGCCTCAGGATCAGAATCTGCATCTGCTGGACCAAAGAGGACTGGAGATCCTGCGATTGCACCAAGTCTCATGGCCTGGTCCTCACACAACCCCAGCCGCTGGTCCTCAATCAGAGAAGTGAATAAAACCCGACTCCCACTAGACAGGCCCCATGCTMCTCTTCAGACTGAAGGGTGAGGCCAAGCACCACGGTGCTGGCACAGCTCACCTCCTTGTGTGTTGCTCCCAGCTCTTCTTCCAGGAGACTGCACCTCTCCAGTGCCACTCGCAGTCGCTCTCTCACCTGTGAACCAGAGCACGGGCTCCTGTGTGTGCCAGTGCATTCACTTTGTTCTTAGGGTACAGTCACCCTAATGTTAGTGCGTACAACAGAGGACCTATAWTGTCTTTCACTGCCATTGCTATCAAGAAAACCTTTTTAATGGCTTTAAATTTAAAAACAAAAAAAACAGCTGGGGATGTAGYTCAGTGAGAGAGAAATCCCAGTAAAATTCTGCCTCTAAATAAACAGCTTATTTAATTCTTAACAGAAAATTAACACATAGAACTAATCACTGTTAAGACACTTAGGCCAGCGAGCCCTTAGAATTCAAGAAGCTATCTGCCATCTCTGTAGCATGAGAACAGAATGAACGCACTGGCACACACAGGATGAACCGTCAGTCCAGGGCTAACAGTACCTTCTCATCCAGAGCCTTGTGGTGTTCAAACAGTGACTTCAGCGCTTTGAGCACTTCCACCTCACTGGACACACCTGCRGGAGACTGTGCCTGTCTCTTCACCACTGTCATCCTGAGAGAGCGCTCGTGTCTGGAGACCAGGCATTCCAGATGTTCCAGCAATAGCTGAAGTAGAAGGCCAGAGAGACATGTGGGAGCTCACTTTTCACAAGTGAGTCCCTTACAATGTCACACTAAGCTAGTCAGAATCCCTTCCACTCTGTGGGAAGCAAGAAATTCCCCCCTCGGCTGTACCACAGCATCATTAGCTCCCACTGCAAGTTTCAAGCAACTCCAGTTCCTGGGCCGACCGAGCACGCACTGCTCAGCATGAGAAGCGTGAAACGGGTTTAAAGGCAGCACAGATGGCCTTGCAGTTCTGGGACAGCAGCACCAGGAGGTCCCCACACGGTGGCCAGAGGCAGACAGCAGTCAGGTGCCCACTGACTCACCCTGGTGTTGTTCCGCTCCGCCTTCAGTTCAGCGATCTCTTCCTCCCTCTCCAGGAGCTGCTCCCTGCAGACATTGAGCTCCTTCGTGAGTGCCGCAAACTCCTGCAAAGCAGCAAAGGGAAGGCAAAGAGAGGGTGACCGCGCACATGAGCGAACAGCGAGCCTTCCTGGGGGACTTCTATCACCTCCTCGGTCCACACGGTCCACACGTATGGGGTGTGGAGGAGTGAGCCCTGGGGTCCTCCAGAGACCAGGGGTGCCCTCATGGATCAGAGCCCAGGCCAGACCATCGCTGGGGGCACAGTGCTGATGGAAGCCCACGCCTCCGCACCCACAGAGGTCACACGTGTCCTAAACCGGGGGGGGGGGGGGGGGGGGGTCACCAGCTGGAACCACAGCTGGGGGGGGGGGGGGGGGGGGGGGGGGGGGGGGGGGGGGGGGGGGGGGGGGGACGGACCGGGGGACCTGGGGACCTGGGATGAAGCAGACGACATTTTCAAATGACTTGTAGCAACATGACCTACACTGTGGGGGAGGGGAAAACAGGCCTACATGCTGGCCGCCTCCTGCCTAGGCAGGCTCACCCCTGGGAAGATCACAGGACCCCGGAGACTCCCCTGGGGAGTCAACTGTAAAAATGTCAACTGCTCAAAGTCAACTGTAAAAATAACTTTTAGGCAGGAGGATCGCGAGTTCAAAGCCAGCCTCAGYAACTTAGCAAGGCTCCAAGCAACTCARTGAGACCCTATCTCTTTAAAAAAAAAAWAWAWAWWWTTTTTWRKT